CAGTGGCAAAAACAAGCACTTTTAGTGGATGTCAATCGACGGTGTGGACATGCCCTCAGTGGTTTCATTGCAGTCTGTTTTGCTGATGCTGTCTGCAGCCCTCTCGCTCAATACTGAACAAATCTCAAAAACCTGGTAAAATAGGGTCCAGTTTGGAAAATAGTGAACTTTGCCTTTAAGTTACTGCTTATAAAAGCCAAACTACTGCTGCAATAAGACGGAGCAGCCATGGTGCGCTCTAAGAGCTGCAGGCGGCAGGCTGCACACCTCCAACTTAGTGAGGTAACCAACTTCTTTCACTGCTGTCTGCAGACTCATGCTGCATGCAGCGTAAAATCAGATCACAGTTGTTCTCAGAATGATGGAAAAATGCCAATCATTGCCTGACTTTGTTATTAAAATGACAACCGAACTTTGTGACCTGTAGTATTAAACCACATGTGCTGTTACCATCAGTAGAGAAGAGGTAGTGAAATGAAATCATATTTTCTTATTCATACAGGGTGCACAAAGTGCTGTTGCACAAATGTTTGACCAGAGGTGAAGTTGTGTGGGTGATTTTGTAAATCTTAGCAGCAGCATCGTTAACACTTTAGTCAACAGGATAACTTGAAAGCTTAGAAAGCAGAGGGGACAATTCTGTGGAAAGAGCCATGTTTGTAGCTGCTGTTTGGTATCATAACAGATGTTAACAGACAAAGTTAAAATACCGCACAGGCCTTCTTCTCCTCTGCAGTGGGTTAAAAGCTGTACTGTGTGTATCTAGCCTGGGATCAGTATGTACTAGACCAGAGGGTGGTAACCTCTTTGCAGATGTGCCGCCTGCTTTGACAGCGGGCCATCAGACTGATCACACATGCGCTCTGTCTCCCCCTACAGGTGCCTCTGAGGCTCATAGAGAGTGTGGAGAGCAGAGATATGTTCCAGCTGCACATCATCTGCAAAGACTCCAAAGTTGTCAGGTACAGTAATCAGTGCAGCTCACTCACACACTAAACCCGTCATATTAACCCTACAGGCAGATTGATGCAGTTATTAACAAGAGTATATACAGTGCAGTGGTCTGGTACGTGTTGAATAATATAATAGTTTGGCTGGCTGTGAGGAGACAATTTATACACTCTACACACACGACCACACTCAACTGCTAATCAGTATTCCCAGGTGTAAAAGGTTGCAACTCTTACAGCAGTAATAAAATGATATTCATTTAATTCTAGTGCCATTCTAGCTCCTCCATCCTTTCCTCTCCTACTGAATTACTGACATCACTGATGTTGGAGATCATGTCTTGTGTCCTCACAGTTTAAGGGCCGGTCCATGTGCGCTGTAGTGGCCTTTTTTACTAAGGTCCAAGTTGCTACTGTAGGCCACTTAATCTGCAGTAAGTTGTTTTAGTTCTGACCCGTGTTCAATTAAGTAATCCACTCTTCTTGAGAAACCCAGTGTTACTCACAAGTAGTCCACAGGAGGCAGGGAAAATGTTGATGTCGCTTTATTTGAAGACGCACAAAAAAAACCTGGTCCAGTACCAGTATAAAGCAGTCCCAAACTGTACACGTTGTCACCTGCTTACTGCACACGCTACTACACACGTTATGCATGTTATACATGGTCAAAAACTTATTTCAATTCACGCTTATGCAGATTCCTCTACATCCTAGCTGCATGGTTGTCCTCACTGCGCACGTGCGGCAAGTTGCCCTAAAGCCCAATTAACTGTTGTAAAGCAACAAAACAGTATACTTTACTGCATTTAGCATCAGAACACAAAAATTGCAAACCTTTAACTTATATATCTTAAAATACACATAACCTGTCCATATACTGTTGTTTAACTGTTGCATGAACTTAAATATAGGCAGAACATATTGCATATACTGGACAACAGAAACACTTTATCAAATATTACTTTGTGCCTAAGTGGCTCTCACATGCGCTCTGCTCTGTGTTAACTCCTTCTCAGCCGTTTGCCAAAAGTAGTGATGCTGGGTACAGCACTGATGCCCCCCTACCTCACCCCCGCCCCAAACACCATTTGCTGATGGTGTAAGCATGGAGAGTGAGGACAGTGTTAGCTTGAAAGATTTGAGCTTGGAGGTAGAAGACGGCGCTGTTTTATCATTATTACACCTTTATTTAACCAAGTGAAGACACCTTGAGATTCATAATCAGTGTATTACCTACAGTAGATGGTGATTGGCACGCCCCCCAATTCGGAGAAGCAGGCCGGAGTACCGCCACAGAAGCTAAGCAGTGTACTGCTGTGATTGCCACAATAACACAAACAAACTAACCAATCAAGGCAGCATTTGAACAGCAACTTCTTATGGTCTGCAAGGTAAAACAACTGTTTCTGTCAGAGGAGTCTGGTGGCTGTGGATGGGCGCTCCAACAAAATCTATTTCAGCCGGCTAAGAAAAGCCCCCCTTAAAAAAACAAATCAATATCACTTTGAGTGTCCATATTTAAATTATTTTACCACTTTACCTTGTCTTCAGACAGCCCTTTCCAACAGGGAACTGAAATAGGTATATTGCTCTCTTCAAAGCCACCAGACTCCTTTGACAGAAAGAGTAATTTTACCTCATAGTACACAGGAGTTGTTGATCTACCGCCAACTCAATCATGTGTGATTTTCAGTACTGAACAAACATGGCATCCACAGCAGTATGTGGGTTTATGTGTAGCAATGACATCATGCTGACACCTATGTCGGGTAACGCTGAAAATGTTTTTAGAGGATATGAAAAGGATATGAAAACCTCAAAAAAATAAATAATGAATAATAGAGCCACCCTTTGAAATAAATGTTGAGTGGCCTCAGCCAGTTTTGGATATTGGTCCACAAACTTGCAGCATATGAACAATAGAACAACAAATGCAACAGAATCTACATAATGATGTTTTTTTAGTGTCAAACATGTTAAGTTGTTTTTTAGTAGCAGGCATTTTTGCAGAATATCTCAAAGTGAAAGATTCTAGATTATGAATCAGTTGCTGTTTTGTAAATTGTTCTGAAAAGCTAATTAAATTATGAGCACATTTATTGTTGTATTGTATTTTAAAGTGATCAGAGTGTGCTGCTCTGTCGCATTCAGAACTGTTGTACCTGGTGATTTCATTTAATTTGTGATTGCTTCATTGTTAATAAGATCAAACAGCTGGTGAATTAGCACTTAGCATGCGGACACTTGCTTAGAAACAGTTTCAAGTAAAAAAAGACTGAGGCCTGCTTTAATTTCACAGCAGACAGATACCCTCATGTGTTCATGGACATCTGTAAAGTTCAGAACCAGCGGAGCCTTCAGATTCTCAGCAGCAGATGTGCCAGCGGCGTCTCGGTTCCTCATCATTAAGCAGCTACATTATTACTCCTGCTTCAAGGCTGGAGAATCACAGAGCATCTGAAGAATGAGTTTTCCTTGTTGTGTCTTCCTTCCAGTCCCCAGTGCATGAAGCTGTAACGTGATGTTTTGTTGTTGGATCTCGCTCATCTTTCTAATCTTCGCGTTGGGTTCTCCACAGATGCCACTTTGCAACGTTCAAGCAATGCCAGGAGTGGGTCAAGCGTCTGAACCGGGCCATCGCTCACCCGTCCCGACTGGAGGACCTGTTCGCCCTGGCCTATCATGCCTGGTGTCTGGGAGGCAGCGCTGATGATGAAGACCAGCACGTTCATCTCTGTCGCCCAGGTCCGCGCACACACAAAAATCAGTACTGTTACAATTTCGGATGTCATATTACTCTCGACTTAAGTTTCAAATAATGAAGTAAACATTGACAAAATTAAACTTCAGACTTCACAACGTTCTGGTTACTCTGTTTTAGGGATGCTAATTTTTTGTGACCAATAGCTGACACTCAGTAATCGATCAATAACTGTTAATCATTAAGTTTGGACATTGTTTAAGTTATTTTATTGTGGACCTGCATATAGCATGTTGCTTTGCTAAGCACCTCCTCGGCCTGCTCTCTTTTTGTTTATCATGAGACGACTGCTGCAGGAGTGTGAGATCTGCCCCAGGGACGTTTAGAGTCCGCCTGCCCCGCACACACACAGTGACAGTGCTAACTTTTAGCATCCCAAGGCTAATGTAAGGGATTTAACAGCAGTCGAGCCTTTGTGATGTTGGTGTGAGTTTGTTGGGAGTGTTTAACAGCAGCGGTGTCGGATGTTAGCTACGGCTGCTGTGGTAACTTGTGCTAACCAGGCAGATGTTGAACTGGCTGTTCTGTGTAATGGCAGCAACAGAAAGTTTGCGGATACAAAATAAGGAAGACCTGGAAACACTGACCAATCAGAGCAGACTAGGGGGCTTACTGATACAGAGAGAGGGTGAATACAGGTGTTCCAGCACACAGTATGAGGAAAATAAAGTTTTTTGAACATTAAAGCATGTAATCATATTATTAGTAGATTTCCAAAATGCAAGTATGAACCTGAAAATAAGCATAAAGGTCCCCTTTACACAACAGCTTTCATATTTTGTTAAAATGTTAATACTAATTTCCTCCCTGTGTGCTCTGTGTGTGTGCAGGTGATCACGTGCGTCAGAGAATGGAGATGGAGGTGAAGAGGATGAGCTTTGACACACAGAACGTCTGGAGAGTGTCGGACATAAACTGCAACTTCAAGTATGTCGGAGATAAATTACCATAAATAGCATGACACCTCTGTCTCTGCAGATAGCTGTACTACTGTACTAGTCATGATGGTCGATAAGAGAGTGAATAGTGAGTGACGAAGTTAGAACAACTTTTGTGAGAGCTGTGACAGACAGTAGGGCTTGAATCAGGCCGGAGTAGGGACACCCTAACCACAGTGTCGATCAGTGGGTGGCGCAGGCACCCCATATACAGAGGCAATGTCCTTGCTGCAGTGGCTACAGGTTCGACTCCAGCCCACAGCCCTTTCCTGCATGTCGTCCCCTCTCTTTCCCCCTTTACGCCCCTGGCTGTCCTCTCATTAAAAAGGCCAAGAAAATAATCTTAAATAAGAACTCTGCCAGGAAATGGGAGTTTTGAATTTGTCTTAAATGACGGTTGCATTTGGGGGGAATAGTTGTCAGGCTGGATTAAACTGCAAGAGTACACTGAATACACAGACATTACACATATGGTCCTTATGTAATCAGTTTTAGATTCAGTGTGACTTGCACTTTAAGGGGAATCATAGTCTCGGATGTCCATCACAAAAAAAACACCAGTAAATCCATTTAGAAATCATAGGAATAAAACCTGCCATAACCTACCTAAGAATTATTACATGTTAAGTTTTATTCAAAGTAATCCACTGCAAAAAGGAACTGGCATTTTTGGGGCTGTCTCTGGTTAAATAAAACTTATCTTATTCATTAACAAAAAGGTCTATCTCTGTAGGGATCCTTTCCATAATGTTGTCAGACACTTAAAATAACAATCTAAGCCTGCCAGTGGCAAAAACAAGCACTTTTAGTGGA